AAAAAAAAAAAAAAAAAAAAAATTAATAAATTTTAAATTCATGGTCCTTATTTCTATCAACTATTACGTAAAATGAAAAAAATTTGTTAAATTGTATTGTTGTTAGCCTTCTAGAAGGAGTGACATATCTGAGTGTGGTGGCACATGCTTGTAGTCCCAGCTACTTAGGAGGCTGAGGCAGGAAGATTGCTTGAGCCTGGGAATTTGAAGCCAACCCAGGCCACAAAATCTGCACCACATTTCTATAAAAATAAAAATAAATTTAAAAATCATTAAAAATAAAGTAGTGACATATTTTAAAATAAGAGTTAAGAGAAATTTATTAAATAAAACTCTCTTATTAGAGTATAACAAAAGATACTTTATTTGCAGTAAACTCTTAAGTTGCCAAAATACTCAAGATTATTATATTTATTTCAGAATAAACTGGATAGTGGTGAAGGTTGCCTATCTTCTGCACCTCCTTGTGATGTTGCAGGACTTCTTAAGCAATTTTTTAGGGAATTGCCAGAGCCCATTCTCCCAGCTGATTTGCATGAAGCACTTTTGAAAGCTCAACAGTTAGGCACAGAGGAAAAGAATAAAGCTACACTGTTGCTCTCCTGTCTTCTGGCTGACCACACAGTTCATGTATTAAGATACTTCTTTAACTTCCTCAGGAATGTTTCTCTTAGGTAAGTGGTAATTAAAACTCTTGGCAAATAATAGTTGAATTTTTCAACTAACTAATATTTAATGCTTGTAGATATGTTCCATTTTATTTGGAATGGAAATTTTTCTTTAAAAATTACATATTTCTTTACTATGAGGAGTATACTCTGTGTAATTTAAGAAACAGCATACCAAATGATTTAATATTTCCTTATCTTAAAGTCATCATCATGAATGCTTTAATGGTTCATTGCTGTTTATAAAATTCATTGTCCACTGAAAGGCTTTGTTTAAATATTTCTGTTTTACTTTTCAAAATTTCCCTCTCCCTGCTCTCAGTGAGCCTACTTATCCTAGACATACTTGCTGCCTTCTGATACTTCCAGCTTTTTATGTGTAGGCTTGAAAATCAGATAAAGATGTTCAATTTCTGTGGAAAAGCAAAGTATGAACTCTAAGATTAGCATGGTTTTTAGAATACGTATTTAAATATAGAGCGGCTATATATTTCTGATTCTTTTTTGTGTTCAAGCCAATCATGTAGATGAAGGGTAACTATTTTCCCTTGTGTATGACAGATAGTAAGAGGTCTTCAAAATGTACTACACACGTGATTTTACCTCTTCTATGTTTTTACCTTGGACTCCATCTAATAAAGCCTTTATTCACTTAAGATCCAGTGAGAATAAGATGGATAGCAGCAATCTTGCAGTAATATTTGCACCAAATCTTCTTCAGACAAATGAAGGACATGAAAAGATGTCTTCTAACACAGAAAAAAAGCTACGATTACAGGCTGCAGTAGTACAGACTCTTATCGATTATGCATCAGATATTGGTAAGATGTAGTTGCATTATTAACAGAATTTGTTTAAATGAGGAAAATCTCTGTTTCTTCCAAAGGAGCTATGAAGGCAACTGTTAGAAAGTTGGTATATTACTGACTTCACGCCCACCCCACAGTACCGGCCCCTCCTGCAAAGAAAAAAAGAAAAGAAATTGGTATATTACTATCTCAACATTTTTGGGGAAGAGTAGAGGAAGGATAATAATTGTCTTATTTGTGAACATTTTCATTTAGGGCGTGTACCAGATTTTATCCTGGAAAAGATACCAGCTATGTTGGGTATTGATGGTCTCTGTGCTACTCCATCACTAGAAGGCTTTGAAGAAGGTGAATATGAAACTCCTGGTGAATATAAGAGGAAGAGAAGACAAAGTGTAGGAGGTAAGTGACAGTCCCATTTTATGGAGGTAGAGTGATGTGCTTTAATCGAAAGTACATTTCACATAAAGAAACATGAATTGTGGTATGTGCCTTTTGGATGCTTATAGCACAGCTGGAAAGATAGGACATATGGATGTAAAAAGTTAAAGCAATAGTACAATCTAATGTTAAGTGCTAAATCTTTAGCATAAACATAAAATGTGTTAAAAGGAGAAAAGTTCCCTGGGTTGTAACAATCAGGAACTTGTCAAAGAGGAGTCAAACTGAACCTTCTTGAATAATGGGTAGAATTTAGTGGGATTGGGTGGAGGATCAGAATACTTGTATCCTATTCTAGAGGAGAAGTATGCTATGAAGAATGGTTTATGTAGGGAAGAAGTAACCTAGGTCTAATGTAAATACAGCAGTATGACTTGAGTGAAGTGTTCAGCATAAGGATGAAGGATGGTATTATGGTAAACTTAATGCCAGGCTAAAGAATTAGAATATTAACCTGGGTGTTAGTGAATCATTGAAGATTTATGATGTGAGGCATGATATGATTAAAAATTTTTAGAAAATTACCTGATTTGAAGAATTGAGACTTGGAAGTAGGGAGAATAGTCAGCAATGTGTGTCAGTAATCCAGGCACGAGATTATTGTTTGAACTTGTTAGTGACATGGATTAGTTAGGAGTACAAACTAAATAATGAAGGAAATATTATCAAGGAAGAATCAGAAAGACCAAAAGTTTTATGATGGTGGAGTTGGTAATAAAACTTGCAATCTCCTTGATCAAGAAATCAGAGACCATTCTTCTTCAATTACTTTAGGAAATTTCTTATCTTTTGAATATCAGAACCAAATGTTACTAACTATCCCATTCCCTTTCTCATCTTTTGGCTTGTTATTGCATACTTGTGTTTCTTCTTTACCTCCTTTGTAGATAGGATAATATTGATGACTTATGTATCATTTTCCTAGGGCTACTGTAGCAAAGTACTACAAACTAGGTGGCTTAAACCAACAGAAATTTGTCTCACCGTTCTGGAGGCTAGAAGTCTGAAATCAAGGTGTTGGCAGAATGCCTGAAACCTGCAGGGGAGAATCCTTTCTTGCCTCTTTCTGGCTCCTGGTAGTGGCTGTCAGTCCTTAGCATTCCTTGGCTTGCAGCTGCGTCACTCCAGTCCCTGCCTATGTCATCCCGTGATGTTGCTCTGTTTCAGAACTTCCGTCTTATAGGACACATTGGATTAGGGTCCACCTGAATGACCTCATTTTAGCTCGAGTACATCTGTAAATACACTAATTCCAAGTATGGTCACCTTCATAGGTACTGGGGGTTAGGACTTAAACATAGGTTTTTTGGAGAACACAATGTAACCCATAAAACTTCCTATCCCAAATGGAGATATTTCTCAGATGCAGAGCGTCTTGATCGCCCTCTTCCCAGTCCTGTAGGTGCAGTTATCACATTTAAATAGATAACCATCACATCTGTACCACTGTTATCTTGAAAATGTCAATTCCGCTTTACTAACGGCCTGCTAGGCAGACCTCATCACATCTGCTTTTCATTGGTGTTTTAGGCTTAACATTTTGAAATGACCATCTTCATCCTCTTTAACCTGGTTCTGTATGAATTCCATTTTCTTCTAACTGCACCACTATTCCCTAGATACTCAGGCTTTAACCATAGGTTCCACCTCGTCCTCTAACATCTATTATCAGACAGTTTTCATGTCGTATAAGATTCTATCTCTGTAATGTTTATTGCATCGTTACTGTAAGAATCTTCCTGGCCGGGCGCGGTGGCTCACACCTGTAATCCCAGCACTCTGGGAGGCCAAGGTGGGCAGATCA